GGATAGGAACAAAACTGCTAAAATGAAGATATTGTCCACTCCATGTCTTTTTGCGAAAAATAGATCGCTAAATCGTTCCATCATATCTCCTGGTCATTGTAATATCGAGGAAACCGAGTTTGTTATTCGATTCGAATTAGGAAGTCACTCGGATATTTCGATGAATATGATCAAATAGGGTAATAAAGTTTTCAATGGATTTACTATTATTACCAATAATGAGAGTATCATCTACATAACGTTTATACAGCATGAATTCTCCAAGCATCCCTTGCATTTGGTTTTCCAATTTCGACATGAATATATCTGCTAACAGGGGCACAAGAGGGTCCCCCATCGCAACATCATCGATTTGTTAGTATGCCTTTTCTTGGAAGGTGAATCTGATATTGTCTGTACACATTAAGATGATGTCTCTGATGTAAGTGACAGGAATAGGTGAGTTTATTTCATTGCTTGTGATGTAATCGCAAATGAAATCAACAGTTTCATGAGGTGGAACATTGGTGAATAAAGATTGTGTGTCAATTGAACACATAACCTTTTCCTTAATGTTCAAGGTGTCTAGCATATCTGTCAGATCAAATGAACTTTTTACAGAATGATTTGATAATGAGTCTCTTATGGGTGTAAGGACTTCTGTAATCTATTTCGCGATTTTATGTTATGGAGAACTCGACATGTCTAAGATGGTTCTCACTAGGTTCCCAGTTTGTGGATCTTCAGAAGGCCATAAAGCCGGGGAGTATGTGATCCAATTGCTTTAAGTTGTTTATAAAGTTTTTTATTTATAAAACTATGCATCAGTAAAATCCGAAGCTAACGATTGATCTGTTTTTCCACAAGCAGCACATTATCAGTAGCATTGTAAAGCGGCTGTAAAGAAACTACGAAATGATATCATCTCGCGAAATTTATCTTCTTAATGCCTTATTCAAATTTATCAAAGGGACTAATTGTTTTGATCAATAATACTAGTCTGCCAATACATACCCGCATAGTCTCGTAATTAATGATAAAACACAGAGATCACCGAATCATTTACCATTTGCCACCTACTTGATCATTTTTAATTTCGACTTATCTTTTTATGAAGACATTACACCTCAAGGTTTTATAAGAAATGCGGAGTTTGTTCTGTAGGATTTACCTAGTTGAGTCATTTTGAAGCTTGATGAAAAAAGCGTTTTAGTAATTTTGTTGCTCGCTAAAATCTAAATTTTATAAACATAGCTTTCAGCTTCAACCCGGATATTAACTAGGGAATACTGAAAAGAAGACTTTCTTATTTACTTCTGTCCATGAAATTTAAAGCTGAGAGTATACAACGTTAGCACAGATGCTAATATTCACATCTTCAAGGAAATTTTTCATTTTACAAGATGTATGTATGAAGCACAGAAATGCACTAGTAGCATAATCCTATAGATTTAAAGCCCCTCAAATACAAGTTTAAGTGGATTGCGACTTCACTCGTGTTGTGTCTTTGAAATTTTAGTACAAATCATAGCAGCATGGTTTCCTATATCTTTCTTAGAAGGGCTTGTTCTGTAATGCTAGTGAACACAAAAGCATAAAACCATCCACTTGAATTACACATATTCTCCATTATTTCAACATTTCATTCTATAGGTAGGTTGATTTTATTGCTACGGTTTCACTACTTACTTACCGAAATTGAAAGTCGGATATTTTGAGGGAGTCGTAAGAATATTGCGGTCAAACAACAAAGAAAAAGACAAGATAAACGAGATCTTTAATATTCTCAATGTACTATTCTACGTAAATTCAGCCGTTTTTCCAACCGTCAAGGGCGAAAACCAGAATTACTTCACCCTTAGATTTCTTCATAAATAGAAAAACAAGTGGGGAAATGAGACAAACATTGATGGGACAAAATACCCATTGTAGAGGTCCTGCCAATGAAATACTAAAGCAATATAGCAAAATGTTTTTGGTAACACTTAGGCTGATCAGCTGGATAGAGAACATATCCCCCTTCGTGCGCTACTTAGTTAACACTAAAAGACAGGAGAGTTCCACACGAGATATAGATGGTCATTACATGAACACAGAGGGTTGACGGAAACTCATAATCAAACCTGTAGTTTCCTAGGTTACACGACTAATAAGATGCTGACACAATACCTAAACAAAACTTTTCAAAAAGTTATGCAGTGAAGCAGAGTGATTTTGCCCAATTATCACTCGAGAAACAATCACAAAGTTGTGGAAAATATCTAAAGCTCATTAAATGGCCACTGATATAAAGTGTTCATTTGAAATGTTATTATTTTGGACAATGCTTCTAATGAGATACTGGTGATTATTTTGAACAGTTATTTCAAAGTAGATCAACCTTTCGGTAAAAGTGATTATGAAAATGTTATGGAGGCCATAATATCACAGAGAACACTCTCAATATACAGCAGAGAAATGTTACTTAACAAATGCTTTTTTAAAATACAAAATAATTGAGCAAAGATTATTCTTTTCGATAATTTCCTCTTCTGGCTCTACAATTATATATATGTATGTTTATATACATAGAATATTCTAGATTAGTAGTCAATAACCATATTAGTTGATCACGGACTGATATCAGTTAGAGAACCATTGAGAACCAGGGAGTGCTGGACAGCCAACCGGTACTCCCTGGTTTTCAATGGTTCTCTAACTGATATCAGTCCGTAATCAACTCGTCAAACATAACTAATCCTTACAAACCAAACTATAGAAAACTATATTAGTGTTTTTTAAATAATATCGATTTGTAAAGTAAGATCAATGGAATTGCAATTCATTGAGGGTGCTTAAATTATAATAATAATAAAGGTATAGTAGAAAATAGAATATCAACTAAAATTAGGAAAATTCCACAAAAATTGAGGATCATTCAAGCCTAACTTCTTTTGGACGCACAAATTTGGCTTCTTAATATGGATCCCAACAACTTCAGCAATAATGGATAGTGGAGCTCTTAAGGTGAAATTGAGATTTGTTGGTATGCGGTAAATGACCCTGAAAGCATGCTCTTTTATCTACCGAAACGATAGTCTTTTTATCAACAGTTACATTAGGCATATGTTAAGGAGTTTTAATTGCTGGATTTCTCAGTATTATGCCATAGCATTTACTAATTAACCTTCAACATGTAAAATACACGTAGTGTTTTAAATAAGTTTGAACTATAGTCTGCTTAACGAACACATGCAAAGAATTCTTTATAATTAGATATACGAGTTTAAGGCTTAAAGAACGTACATGAGTTACTTTCATTAAAATTTGACTTAAGAAGCATTTTTCGTAGCACTGAGCATTTGACTGTTCACCTAAATAAACTACTGAAATGAAAAAGTTTTTGGGGACATCCTAGTTAAATTTGATGAACTAACCAGAAGGTGGGACATGGCTATTTTTATTGACAGTTAACTTGAGTTCACGCTTAAATAAGATTTCTTTCCAATGTTAATGAAGGGCTTTAATTGGTAGATGGTGACTAGCAGTGGAATCCAGGATAATGCGCAGTTCGTCCTATTTGGGACTCGTCATCTGAATTTACCTGCATTTCCCAGTGAGTGATGATATTTCCACCGAGGCTTGAACCCAGTGCTCATAGTTTCAAACTCCGAAGCGTTATCCATTTGAAACTACGGGCACTGGGTTCGAGGCTCGGTGGGAACATCATCACTCACTGGAAAATGCAGGTACATCCAGATGATGAGTCCCCAAATAGAACGAAATGCGCATTATCCTAGATTCCACTGCTAGTCACCATCCACCAATTAAATTCTAATTAAGTGCTCAGACATCGTTGAAGCATCTGCACAAGAAGCCGACATGTCAACCTGAGACCGAGCACTTCGGTCCAATCAATCGACGAGAAAATCTAAAATTCATTTGATGAAGGGCAGCTTGAAAATACTATATAATTCTGGCTAAGAAAGATCTCCCCTAATGCAAGTTACCAAAATGAACCACTGTCAATAATAATTTAAAAATGGCACCTTAAGACATGACCCCAACGTTTACAATTAAAACACTCAATGAATTCTTGTCGCAATACTCTTTAAGATAATATTTCTTAGTGTTACAACAGTTAATGTCATTTGGACCTCTGTGATGACCATTAGCAATGGAATCCAGAGTGTATCGGCTTATTTGAGATTTGTTCGTTGAATGCTGATGAATAGTGATAGAAGTAGTGCACACCTATGACACCAACAGGGGGATTCAGAATGTCAGTCACCGGGTTGAAATCCGGAGACTTGGTGAACCTAACGAATAAAAACAATTCATTATCACTTCAGAATCTCGACTTTGAAATCGATCCCTAATGACCATGAAAGGGATATTCAGATTTCGGATTTGTAGAAATTTGATTAACGTTCATGTAGATATTTTCACGAACCGAACGATAAAACGGAATGATAAACCTGTTGAATTTGTTAATTGAATGTCCCAATCTCTATCCATGGTGGTTTCGTGGATGTTCTCTGTTGAGGAGTCCTATACAGAGGAGAAATAGCTGTTCAGAATTCTCTAACCAGTGCCCATGTAGGATAAAATATTCGTTGAAACTTCTCAGATTCCCATAAAACCCAAAATCCACATAGTACCGAAAATAGCCATTAAAATATTTAAAATAATGATGGGTTGAATCAAATAAATTTATTTCATTGAAACATTTCTATAAATTTTTCACTATATATAGTCTGAAATCACTATCGCTGTTTGAAAAAATTAAAAATATAATGTAGTGTTTTAAGATCAAAAGAAAAGTATTCTTTAGTTTTTATCAAAAAAAACCCTTCACTTTTTACCAATTATATGTCTTTTAGACTTTTTTATACTTATATGAAGTATGTGTTTGAAGGCATCTGCGTATTCTTTCTTAAAAAATGCATATATGAATGGATTGAAAATACTGTTAAAATAACCTAACCAGACAACAAAGTTGATAAGATTATCTGAGTACTGACACTCACATATAGCTTCACTAATGAGTACTGTGAAAAATGGAAACCAGCAGACTGTAAAACAACCAACGACTGCGGCTAAAATTCTTGCAGTCTTTTGTTCTCTGTGAAAGATTGAATGTTCACGTCTACGACTGTGCAGATTATTCAATCGTCTTTGTTGTCTTTTGTTGCATCCCACGTTGAAACAAGGCTCTGAACGATTTACAATTTCTAAGTGTTTCTGATTCTGGTGACAACAATCACAACGACAGCAGTAGGATTCTTCATGATGATGACATTTAAAAGATGTGATAGAGAACACGTGTGGTGGACAGAATGAAGACCGCTCGCTGTGTTCAGTCTTTTCTGTTACCTTAATGGTGTACGAACTATCGACATGTTGAATGTTTGGTTTACTTTCAATTTGAAACACCGGGTTTGTTGAACAGTTTGAACAGGCATCTTTTGAAGTATGTTCGGGTGAAATATGAAATGTTCTCATCACACTAAGGATTGGGTCTGTTGGCTCAGGAGATATTACTTCTAATTCATCTCGACTTTTAATAGAGAGCTTACTGTCAATTCTGTCTGTTAAAACTTTTTTATAGTCTGTTTTACATTCAATATTATATGTTTTGCGAAATAAATGGTGATTGCTGCAACATGTGTTGATCTTTTTGTTATTTATTAAATGATGAGGAAAAATTTTATCTAAAGGATTTGTATGAATATAAGAATGATTGCTGATTTTCATGGTAACAACAGGATTGTCCAGCGATTTTAATTTCACAGACTTTCTTCTGTTTGGACTTGAAAAGGTTACACAAAGATCTGGTTTTGTTGCAACATTTGACTTACGAATTGCTGACGGTGAAAATTTGATATTTACATATTGAAAACTTTTCGAACGATGTTTTATCACGTAGAATACTCGTAAGTACATATAGGCGATCAGTAGGAATGGACCATAAAATGCAGCTATGGACGAATAAATTCTGTATCCTTTGTTGTTCGTCAAATGACATGAACCTTTTCCTAAAGCGTGTTGGTTTCCTCCGATCAGTGGTGGTAACATTGTTATCATCGGTAGCGTCCAAGCAACAGCTATCATCGCGGAAGCCGTTCGATGATTACGTATTCTAATGTATTGGATAGGTCGACTGATTGCGATGAATCTGTCCAAAGATATGCAGCATAGGTTGAGTATTGATGCCATACACAACACTATATTGGCCGACAACCAGAATTGGCATAATTCATGTGATTCAAACGGCCAGTAACCCAAATTCTGACGAACAATAGCCAAAGGAAGTACTAGAACTGATACAAGTAAATCAGCCATAGCGAGTGAAACAATGTAATGATCTGTCACGCGTCTTAAACGACTTGTCGTTGCAAATGCAATAATTATCAAAAGATTTCCAATGAATATAGTGCACGTAACAATGATGAGGAAACATGAAATAGTCCAGTTGACTACAGGCTTCCATAAAATGGATGAATTGGAGAGATTATTTATGTTTGTGCAGTTATTCTGGAATAAATCGTTCATACGTCAATGGAAAACAAGTGTGAATTTAGCTTTCTGACAGTTAATAATGCTTTATTTTGCTTTAGAAACTGATAATTGGGTATAATGAGTGAAAAATGTAAGTCAGTTTTTTATTGAAGGAAATCAAATGAGTTAAAATATTTTTCAGAATTAAATTGTTGTTTCTGTCGTGTTTGAAATGTGGCGTTAGATTTTGGGATTTCTTACTGGCTTTCCTGTTAATAGATTGAAGAGGACGACATTTATGTAAAAATTTTTATTAGCCAATCCGATATCAGGTGGACATTTGAGCTTCACCAATCACCGGATTTCCTTTTTTTGTGGTTTAATTTACTACTGAAATAAAGGGATTGTATATACTTTAGAAACAAAATTCACTTGTAGATCCCATTTGTATTATGGGATACAAATTATTCAAATATTTCATTCATTATTCATAGTTTTTAGTTGGTTATTATTAATACAAAAGTTTCGCTTATCCCAGTTAGGTAAGTAAATCTTATTCATAAGATGTTTGGTTTAATCATAAAGCTAACTGCTGCAACAATACAACGTGTTCTACTCGGTGTTTGACCGTTAGTGGAAGGGTTGTGTTAGGTTTCAGAATTCGAAATTAATTAATGTCTCCTGTTTACAGAATCTGGTCTTAGGAATAAACCAAAATATGAATTAGTTGTCGACAAATATGCGAAACGAATATTTATCTGCAGGGAACTTCAATTTTCGATAAATGATTGGACTACGTTTGCAGAGAAATTTGTGGAACTTCTTAGTAACATGAAACAGGAACAAATATTTAGTGAAGGCAATGTCTGATGGATACTAAGAGCTACAGGGATAGAGAATTAAAATTACAGAGGCAAAGATACTACTGGTAATTGCTGGTATTAGATGGTTGGAGGTAATCGGCCACAGGAAGCCTTAACTGACCTGGGTTTCGTGCTAGTTGGCACTCACCAGTCAGCAAGGCGTATCTGCACTCTTTAAGCAACTCATGTCCCTTCTGAGATTCAAAGTCGTGTTACCCAGTGATGCAGTCAGAGACGTTACCACTGAGCTATTCGGGTTCGCGATTGACCTCCTTTAGGACTGTGCAATCAAAAATACCCAATACAGTCCTACAGGAGGTCAGTCGCGAACCCGAATAGCTCAGTGGTAACGTCTCTGACTGCAGCACTAGGTGACGCGGGTTCGAATCTCAGAAGGGACATGAGTTCCTTCAAGGTTGTAGATACGCCTTGCTGACTGGTGAGTGCCAACTAGCACGAAACCCAGGTCAGTCAAGGCTTCCTGTGGCCGATTGCCTCCAACCATCTAATACCAACAGTTCACAGTGCACCGTAATGGCGAGCCACCTAGCATGGTGGCCACATTGCAAGCTTGACTGATTGAATTCAGTCTGCAGAGAAGATAGGACTAGACACATTACACTAGTTACTGACTAATGTGCAATCAAAATTACTACAGGAAAGTCAAACAGCTGCCTGTGTTTAAATTTCTAACAGTGACCTTCACTTGCTAAGTAAACTTATCGTTCTATAAAATTTGAGTGAGGATAATGGTTATCGCAATGTATTTTCCCGCATTATATGTATTATCCTGTTCATGCCTGTAGAGGCGTTATAAGCATTCATTTTTGTGAAAATAGGGTGTATTTAATTAGTTTTAGGCTTTTACAGTCGAAAAAAGCGATATTCTCTTGTATTATGTCCTCATTAACGTGTAAAGGTATCTTGATATCCCAGAAGAATTATTACTAAAAACGGGCATGCACTTAAAGAAATTATATATAGGTATGAATTTAATTTTTATTTGCTACTATACGGATAAGAGACTTGGCGCGTCATAAAGAGCACCTCAAACAAACCACAGACCTTCATTAACAGTTGTCTTCGCTCAATACCACTCAAGATCAGATGGCCGGCCAGAAACGATCAGCAACAGAGATCTGTGGCAATGAGCGAACCAACCCAGTAGGAACCGATTGTGAATCAAGTAGGCAGGAAAAAATGGAGGTGGATTGGCCATACTCTCAGGAAACCATCAAGTGACATCACTAGACAAGCCATTGCTCGAGTGGAACCCGACAGAATGAGAAGCGGCGAGTTGGTCGTCAGTGCAAGGGTGACTTGGAGGAGGTCATGTGAAGAGGAGATGAAAGCGTGTTAGCAGACTTGGAGCCAGGTGAAGACTCTAGTAGAGAACCGAACTCAATGGAGACGCGTGGCTGAAGCCCTATATTCCTCTAGGAATCAAAGGAAATAATAATATAATAATAATGAATTTAATTTTTATTTGGGAGCCATAAAGGTTTGATATTTGCTAGCTGGGATTTGCAGGTTGTAAACTGAATACAGTCAGTCGTTAGTGTCATAGCAGTTATTCGATAAGATTCAGGCTTTTGATAAAGAATAAGCCCACCCACGTAAGTTAGATATCTATTCTGAGCAGCTTAAGCGTTTTTTTTAAATTTTCACCCGTGATGAGTGAAGTCCTTCATAACGCATCGAAGAAATCATGCGATAAATGAGACAAGCGGCTGAATTTCGCGGTGATTATATCCATTTCGATGAAGTTCATGGTTAAATTTATGAAGTCGAAGATGTGATACGAGGTGAATTTACATTGTTAGATAGAATTTTCGAAGACTGTAACTGCTTACTGCATCAAATGGCATCAACTTATCTTGATATCAGTGTGCATTGGGACAAGAAGAACACTTTGGATAGTCCTTCTGAAATGTGACACTGCTTACAATTAGTATTACCTTTCTGTCGAAAAGTAGCTTGCAGCTGCATCCTACCACTAATACACCTGTTACGTAAGTTATATCAGTCCTAATAGTCATTCATTTTCAGATCACTAAGTTATTTTCTGAACTCCAGCAGGAATGATCTTTGTCTATGAAGGACATGGAAGTTGCACTTATAACTCCTTTTTTAACCATTTATTGTTAAACAACTTATCTAGAGGGACTTTGTGATGTTCAGGTTAAAATGCTTGAGCATATGCAGTTACTGCACACTATTATCCGTGAAGGGACAGCTAGTGAAAATAAACACGAAATCGAGCCTCCTATCAAATCAATATGAATACTATAAACTGTTGATAAGAAACTTCGCCTGAGGAAATACTCTGAACAGATAGAAACCAGTGTTACTCCAGTTTCCATAACTACTATCTTTTAAATGTGTGAACCATCTGTCAAATTTCAGAATGACGCCAAAACATGAATTCATCACTTGCTTAGTGCTATACTTGATAAGAGGAACAATTTATGTGATAGTGAAAACCACAGAAGAATGCTGTAATGACCACAGAATGAGAAAGGGGAATGAACGTTTGTCAGAAAAGGTAGGCAAATAAAGTGTTTAACTTTTATATTACTTCCTAACTGTAACGGATTCAACAATACACTTCATTCATTTATTTACAGAAGTCTGGTTACGTCAGTCAACCCGGTCACAGCAATTCAACACCGGCGAAATAATTACGACAAACAACTGTGTACAGACATTTGCTTGTTATTATCTTTCATTAAATATACCTAACATCCTGCTTACCATACTTTTCTTATCCTATTTGAGTGAAAATAAATTTTTCATCATGACGAAATGGGGGCTTGACTTAGAAATGAGTCCTGAGAAAGTAATTGGTGGCATAATTCAATGTAAATATCACGTAGAATTATACGTTAACACTGGTAATCATATGGATTGACGTCACGCTTCAAGTGAAATAATAGTAATGTACTACTTTTGAATACACTTAATCTATGACGAAATCATACTCCACCACACTGTCTACGTTCTATTCTTATATTTCAAATACATAAGCTAGGTTTTTTGTCATTGGTCCCTTCAGATTTACCTATGCCTAGGAGACGTAATCCCCTAACTTTAGGCAGATGTTCAGGCTTGACTAAAGTCCTTATAAGTCACCACCTGTATTAATCGATAGTGTTTATACAGGACTACACTAAGGTATTGTAACAAGTTCATATCCTAGGGAGTACCGGTCTAGTATGCCTTGCTCCCACCGCAAGTATATCAAATAGAACAGAAGAATATGAGATGAGAAGTTTATTTACATATATGGGCTTAGCATAGTCCAAGATGAAAGTCTTCATTTTGGAAGTATCTTCCATTATTCGATGGAAACTGTCGCGAATCCAAATTGCATCACGTTTAAATTCTTTCTCAATTCAAGCAAACAGAACTGTATGACAACATCCAAAGTTATCCAGTATCACAAACTGGAAGAAAGAATATTTATATGGTTATAAGTGAATAAGGAAAATTACCTTCACTTGTTGTTCGATTGTGGGCAAAATTTTATTTTGATAAAGTCTCACAGTGTTTAACAGTAGTATTTACTGGTGAGCACAATTTATGGCTCATAATCATATCAACGTACTCACACAACTTTCTAACTTCGTTTATATAATTCCATTATTTTTCATCGCTTGGCTTGATTGGTAGTACCCTTTTCCATATTTCCGGTATTGCTATTCTACGTGTTGGATGTATGTAGAATCATTTCCTGCAACTGGTTATGCAAATTTACCTGGTCATAGGTCGTAAAACACTCGTCAGTGGATTTCGGATGTCTTCGCCCGAATGCGACTCCATCAGCTTCCCATCGAATTTAACTAAGAGACCTCATTACGACTCGACATTCCTAAAAGTGATACAGATTAAATTCTATTACATAAAGTAAGCATTTACATGATTAACACACATGACCATATATGACATGAGTATTCAATAAATGGTATACGAGCTCGCCTTGTAAACCAGAAGGTCCTGAGTTCGAATCCCGGTGGGTGCGTACCGATGAAGAGTCCAAAACTAGGATGAAACAGCTGTCCAGTACTCCCAGGTATTCCAATGGTTCTCTAACTAATGTCAGGTCATGATGAAATCCTGTAACCAATCAAATCCCTACAAACCAACACTTGAATATCAGTTGAAATAGTTTACACTTCTTTTGAAATGTGG